ACGTAACTGGGAGACGTTGGATTAGAATTCACTGCAGAACATTTGCAACTGGTTCTAAAAATCTCACGCTAAATAAAGGTGGCAAATGCTAATCTACAGTCACCTGGCTTATGTATTGACAGTAATCTTCTAAGGAGGGGTCTTTCTCAGTAAACGCTCAAGCATCGACCGAGTACGAATCGTGAACGTCTTGGCAAAAATAAGCCACAACACAGTCTAATTACTGCGATTGTTAGCGAACGCCGTCCTTAAGTGCAAAAAAACAGAAACTTTAAAACTGATCAAACCACTAGCAAGGCAGCGGCAGAAATACCTTGCAGTATTAACTTAAATGTAGGTGTATGAAAAGGAAAAAAGTTTTATTATGTGTCTTCTAGAAAGATCTTCAAGGGAATCCAGGCTCTAGGAGCAGATCAGAATTTGCAAAAACTGAATGACATATTGTTTTACATATGAAAATTTGAAACGGAATAAAGGCGCAACCACTCTGAATTCGAAGAAGACATTCGTAATCATCTTGACCATAAGATGGCAATCGTCCTGAGGGAGAACACGAAATTAAGGCAATCGTACCCATTTCAGAAACGAGTAAAAACCGTAGAAGTTTCATGATCTAGTCTTATGAGATGAAAAGGAAAAGAATGAAAGTTAAAGAGGCAAGGGAGAGACCTTCAAGACAACGTCGATACAGCTAGTTTCGCGATCTCGACGTTTCTAATTTTAGTATGAAATTTCCTCTTTTAATTTTGAAATATACACTGTTTCAAAAAGAATTTTCAGCAAGCCCAGGCTCTTTCGGAACATATCGACAATTCTAGATCAAAAAGACGAGCATACCTACGTGATACAGATTTGCATGCATGCCTGGGCTCATAGAGGACCCATCGATACATACATGTATACATATTATAGGGTTATAAATTAAACAGATTATGAGCACTTAACAAGCTTTGGATAAGATACGTAAAAGCGAAAGACATTCATTGAAGAATGGAATGTCCTTCTGAGAAAATAGCCAGTTAAAACGGTAATTTAACAGTAATTATGAAACTGTTTGGAAAGTAGGCAGAAATGGATATATAATTCTTTTAGGTAACGAATCAGCTTATGAGATACGATGTTTACCAAGTCAGTCATAAGTGAAGAAAATTTCTAGAGGCTTTCACAATGGAGCGAACACATTGCGAAATGAATAGAAAAAAAGCACATACATGTCAGCAAAGCATGACTACTATCGCTACTTTACAATTTATGTTTAATAACCTTTCTTTTGTTTTCTCTGCTGATAATTTACTGCGCGTATAATTTTGTAAGCACCATTCATCTCTATATTCTTCGGTTAAAAATGTTAAACGAAGTTCTAAAACCTGAATGATGCTCATTTTTTAATTCGTCAATACACTCTTTATTTAGGTAATACACACAGACTTACAATTCATGCTTAATATAATCCTTTACACAGTGATGATTCTTTTTATATCATTCGTCATCTGCACTGGACTAGAGTTTTCATGAGCAGATGGTTCATTCCTGGTCATGCAGAAGTAGTCCGATTAAATTCTAGGATCAGATCCGTCATTCCTTATCACATGCCAGTGGACCAACTAACTCCCAAAATCATGACGTGTCATCTTGTCATATCAGTGAAGCTGGAATGCGGAATTTGGCAATGCGCGGAAAAAATCTGGTGCGTCTATTTATAAGCCCAATTGTTCCAGAGATCAAAGGGATCATTTTGCTTGTACTAGTTTGCTTCATTTTCTGAATAAAGATGAGGACAAGTACAAAAATTTTGTCTTTACAGCAGGAACTTCGCTATTTTATGATATATAATCGTTCTGGATCTTTCTCTGGATTCGGAGTAGTTGCACTCCTTGATCCCGATTTACATTTAAAAAAAGAAAATGACTTATTTCCTGCTTCTAGATCTGCTAGAGAATTCTTTTAAAAAGCGCGCTGCTTATTACGAAAGCACTGTTGACAATTAGAAAATATCGATTTTAAAACAAAGTTTTATGCTTAAAAGTTTTTGAATAGTACAAAAGTTTCAAAATCGGGAACATACTGAATTTTCGATTATCACTGGTTGCAAACAGTTAATCATACAGCTCCGTGAAACCCATTATAATGCCTCACTACTTGGTTGCTTACAAGTGAGATCTCAGCCCTGAAATCAGCATAAGAACAAGTAGAAGACAATAAAACAACAAACTTGGCTAAAAACAGTAAATGGCCATCAAAACTAATAACAGACGCGCTACAATAAAGTACCCGGGTCACCATCGCCATAGTCTCTGCATACCTTGTCTATTTGATGTATTCTTGGTTTTATGAAGAATATTCTTAAACCAGAACGACAAACTGAAGCTAACAATAATATAATGTAACAAATAACAGTTACGATAGAACTTTTAAATAGTTAATGAAAACAACTGTTTTGCAGAAAAGAGCAACCGCGATACTTCAACCATTGGATGCTCCATGTGTCAGACGTTTAGTACTAACCTGTACCTTTCTTTAAGTCCGCCCCGAGAGTGTAGACTGTGACTTCTGTCCTCATCGCAGTTCCGATAACAGCAGAATCACATATCTCAGAACACCTTGTAAAACACGTGCTTCTCAAATCTCTAATTTGTTCGGGATGAGGCTAGAGACTGAATGGTGGCCTATCAAAGAAGCAGAATGCAGATTTAGAGTTCGAATATGGTGGGATGGTAACTGTTCTAAACCTCTCAAGGGACCTCAGCATTAATGAATTCTCAAAGGAACTTTTTACTCAACCCCTGGCGAGTCGAAATAAATACACAGTCAAAGCTATGGTAATTTTATCACGTCAGCAAAACGAATCGCCTGTGAAGATGTACTGTACGATAAATGCCAGAAGTGAGCACGAAAGTTAATGTACTGATATCTTGAAATGTAGTATTTTACAAAATTTTGGATTATTATTACTTTCAGCACGGTAATATATACCTCATAACAAGAAACGTTTGCATGCAGAAATGCTTTAAAGCAAAATGTGGAATTTGCTAACAAGGTTCCCGCTAGCATCTCTTAACTACATCGAAGACGTTTCGAAGAACAGAGCACGCAGCCGAATGTTGCTAAAACAGTAGATTGCGTTCATGACATCTGACAGCAGAATGACCGTCGCTCGGCCTTGTGACTGTGTCATGTTTCAGGACAACTTTCACTGACTCAAAATTTGTGATCCTAATTACAAGTAGTGTTACTTACACCCATAACGCAACATGAAATAACATGATGCATAATATTTTACAGTATATAATAGTACGACGGTACAAATTAACTTCTGAAGCTCAGAGTCAGGTAAAATACAATAGATAATAACGTAGTGAACGACAGAAACGCAAAAATAGAAAAGTTTTTTCACCGCGCACGATGTTCCTTTATCAACCTGATAAAAGAACGCCATGTTAGGGTTCAGAAATTGTAATGCATAGAGTTAAGTAATCTCGGCAACTCGAAAAAAC